CGTGGACATGCACAAGACCGGCTGACCGACTGACAAACAGACGCTGGTCTGGCCTGGGGACAGCAGCACTGGTTTTCTAACCCTCTGCTGTCCAAATCCCTGACAAGGACAGGGCAGACTGGGAGGAGATTCTTGTCCTCTTTACGGCTCAGGAACATAACCCCCACCCTCCTCGGAATGCTACGATCCCAGTAATATAGGCCAAAAATAAATAATTGATGGTCTGAGTTAATCATTCATGGTGGAAAGCCTGTACAAGCACTCTGGTCTACAAGCTATCCTTCCTACCTCCCTCTTACCCCCTCCCTGTCCATCTCGCCTGCTTGCGCTACGGTTCGGTGCCCTGTGCACCATGGGACATGCTCGTGGTGGAGAGCACAGAGCACCCCCGAGTCTGGCATTTCATTTTGCCTTTTGAGAGGATTGTCCTACGCCAGGGGCCAGCAGTATAGCTCAAGACTTCCAGGGGGTTAATTCTTGAAGTTCCTGAAGCGAGGGCCTGCTCCTGGCTCAATTAAGGACCACACCCGGGCCAAGACTCACCCTGAAGAAGAAGCCCAGCCCGCCCCTCTGCTCGGGCTCCGTGTGGTCGCTCGTGGAGTCGCTGAAGCTCTCGGGGCCCTCGTCCCCCTCGGCCTCCTCGGGGCCGCGCAGCGAGGACAGCGAGATCTCGATCAGGCTGCTGCGCTTGCCGTTGAAGGAGGGCTGCAGGTCGCTCTCAAAGGAGCACTCCGAGGGCGCCCCCGAACTGCTGCCCCCTCCCGGCTCTTTCCGGGAGGAAGAGGGCCCGACGACGGGGCCCACGGGGGGCCGGGAGTGGCCCTCCAGCTCCAGGCTGAACATGGCAGGTTCCTCGCTCGAGCCCGTCTCAGAGGAGTCGTCCTCCGGGCCGGGGGGCTTAGGGATGGGCCCCACGGGCTTACCCAGCTCTATGGGGCTCCGGGGGTGCCCGATGCTGAAGGAGGAGGAGGTCTGGACGGGACACTGGCTGGGGGAGAACTTGCGGAGGTGAGGCAGGTTGTCCACGTTGTTGGGGGGGGTGAGGACGCGGGTGAGGGGCGGGAACTTGAGGTCCAGGGGGCGGGCGTGCTTGGGGCTCTTGGGTGGCACGGACTGCGCCCTCCGGGGGGCCGGCTGGGGGGATTTGGGAGGGGCGGGGTGGCTGGCGGGCTTGCGAGACGGGGAAGGCGACGGGGAGGAGCAGGAGAGGTCGGCGGAGCGCGGCGTGGGCTCCCGGGACGGCCGGGGGGACGGCAGTGGCGGGGCGGCGGCGGTGGGCTTGGGGCTGGCGGGGATGACCCAGGCCTGGGTGGCGGGCTTCTTGCGCATGAGCTGCTGCTGCTGCTCGGCCAGCCGCTGCATGTCGCTCTGCAGGGAGCTGAGCGCGGCGTTGAGCTTGGACACGGCCTTGTTGTAGTCCCCCAGGTGCGCGTCCTCCTCCGGCTTGCGGATCTCCGGGGAGAAGGTGACCTGCTTCTCCTGGCGCGACCCGTCCGCCAGCTTGTCCCGGTCCTCGCTGGGGGGGGGCCGCTCCTCCTCGTCCTCGATGCGCGCCAGCCGCTCCTCCAGCGTCAGCTGGCCCAGCTCCTCCGGCACCTCGGCCTCGGCCTCGCCGCCGCCGTCCTGATGCTTCTTGAGCTGCATGAAGGCGCTCTTGCCCAGCCGCTGGCGGTGCTTGGCGAAGATGGCCTCGATGCGCTTCTTCTGGGCCTCGATCGCCCGGCGCTTCTCCTCCAGCCTGGCGCCCAGCTGCGACATCTCCGTGTTGAGCGCGGGGCTCTTGCTGGGGCTCTCCTCCGATCGCTGCGCCCAGGTGGTCATCTGTGGCTCGGGGCTGCCCCTGGGGGTCTCGGTGGTGGCGGCGGCGGGCGCGGCGGGCACCAGCTTCTTCTTGAGCTCCGCGAAGCTGGTCATCTTCACGCCGCTGTCCGAGGACGAGGACAGGGACAGCGTCCCGGTGCCCGCCTCGTCTCGGGGGTCCCCGTCCGCGGCGGCGGGCACCGGCGCGGCGGGCGCTTTGGGCAGGTCTTCGGAGGCGTCCGAGTCCACGCTGCCGTCCCGCAGCACCGAGTCGTCGTCCCGCGAGGCCCTGGAGCCCTCCGAGGTGCGCCGCGTCCGCCGCTGGCCCCGCTCCCTCTCCTGCGGCTCCCCCGAGGGCCGGTACATCATCCCCGCGCGGGACGGGGCCGACGAGCTGAGCCGGGAGGGGCTCCCGTTGTGCCGGAAGCCGACAGGCTCATCCGGGGAGTGGAGGTAGAACCCGTCCGCGGCGCCGTCCGGGTGTAACCGGGGCTCCATCTTGCTCTCGCTGTGGATGATCTGCAGGGCCTCCTCGATGGTGGGCAGGTCGGCGTAGCCACTCTCCTCCAGCCCGTTCTCCAGCCCCTCGGGGTCCTTCTCCATGCGCATCTTGACGGGGGGCGTCTGAGTGCCCCAGGACGCCCTGTGAGACCCCAGGGGCCCGTTCTGGCCGGTCTGGGCAGCCGTCTGCCCTCCCACCCCCTTCCCCTTCCCACCCAAGTCCGGGACCTCCTCGGAAGAGGTGTAGGTGGCCCGGGGGGGGGCGCCAGGCGCGGGCTGGAAGACGTTGGGCCCCAGGCTGTCGGAGCTGATGGAGCGAGTCATGCCCACAGGATTCCCCATCACGATGTCCACGTCGCTGTCCAGGCCGAACGGGATGCTGAAGGACACGGCCGAGGAGAGCGGGCGGCTGGGCACGGAGAGGGAGAGAGGTGGGAGAACAATGAATCCTTGCGCGCAGGAAGAAAAGGACAGGGGGAGGATGGGAGAAGAGTGAGCAACCGAGAGAAAAACAGATAAGAGTCGGGCTGTACCTGATCTGTCTCTTGGGCCAGGTCTTCCCTACACCCTCCACATG